GTCGACCCCGAGATAGGCTGCGCCGCATTTGCATGCTGCAGTGCGCCCGACACGAACGCATTTGCATGTGGCGTGTTCGGAGGCAACCGACCCTCTTTACTTCCACTCTCCTTACTTTTTGCATCAAGAGCTCTATTAGTATAATAAATGTGTCCTTCCTGTTTGTCTCACATCATTTTGTACAGACTCACGAGACGAAACACCGACTGAGGTAGCTCAGGGCATTAGTTGATGTCACCACAGTGCCTCCGACCGGGGGCTCCTAGGATTTAAATCCCGACGGTGACAGGAGTTTCGACACTGGCCTGTCAGCTAGGTCGAAATCTGCCGCTGTCTGGAGAAGAATGGTAGCGGCCGGCTACTCGAACGGCAGGCGAAAGCTGAAGCTACCGAAAGGTCCACGGACCTAGTGCGATCTTTCCCTCCTCTACCTTGTGCTACACTCACTCCTTACAGACACTTATACTTGCATTCACTACACTACCACACATGCCGAGACACCGGTTAAAGCTTTTCGCGGTTGGGGCGGTGCTCCCACTGGCGGGAGATATCTGGCGATGAATGATTAATAAACGAAGGAATGAAAATGACGGGGAGAAGGGGTTAAGCAGCAACGGAGGAAGAATGCCACAGGAGACAAGGTATTCATCGGGCGTTTGCTTCTTAGGTTTTGCCACAGGCGAGATTTCGTATCTTTTATTAAAGGAGCAAATTGGAGGAAAAGAAGTATGCTTGTGTTAAACAATTTACTTTTTAATAATCTGTATTGCTCACATGTATTTAATGCATATCTACAATAATTTATTTTAGATGGTTGGATTTTGTATTATATTTTGAAATTTGAATACAATGTATCATATGTGTATAATAAATGGGAAATACTCTTCCTTTTTGAGAGTTAATTCGAGTGTTCTGAATCATAATTTTAGTCATGAAACTGTTAAATTTCTAAGTAAATAAAGTTGTTAGGGCACACAAGCTATTCGTTTCATAAGCCTATTTATCTTGACACATGCACATCAATGCAGTCAGGTTCTAGCACGAACTATTGTTTATAAAATATGTACTGTTTGAATCTATAAGGGTTGAGAGAGGGCGTGGGCAATTGTAGGAACACTTCCTGCCTCGCTCCGCTCAACTGGTTCCAGGAACTCGTCCACTGCGGCATGTGTCACCCAATACTATTGCACAAGATAACTGTTCAACGAAGTTAAACCTGAAAGTAGAATCACAATTTCTACTATTCAAAATGCCACACAACCATATAATTTAGTTTGTTAATCAATAACAATTACCTTGCTTGCAATTTAATATTCTTTTGTAAAACTCATTACTTTTCGTCGAAATGCGCGGAAAAGAACACTTTTTCAGTCCAACGCGACGCCACGCCACACCACACCAGTCGCAATTCAATTTTCCCGCGGTAACACGTATAATGTTCGTGTGGCAATTTCAGTTAATTGAAATATGCGACTTTCCTTTGAGCCTTTAAAGGTAACATTTCAATTGTTTTATTGTGTGTCAGTTCAACACAAACGCATTAATTGACAATTTACGCATTCACGTGTCTGTTCTTTCGCGTGTGTGGTGAAACTGATTCAATTACCAGTGACTGTTCAACGCTGCTATGTATTGTGAATGCCATGCACCGTGTACATGAACTGAATTCATTCCTCTTTGCAGTTGGTGATAACGTATTACGTAATTGGTGCCGTTAGACGTACTTTGTCACACTTAGCTGCATGCGCATTTTCTCTTCAACTGAGCCTGCTGATTGCGGCAAGGCGATCGGCTTATCTCCCTGGCGGCTTGGCCCGGGGCATGTGCACATACGGCATTCCTGGGAGAGTGTGCTCCCACCAGCTGATAATTCTGCAGTCGCACAGCGTGCAATGCCTGGGGACGGTGCGGCTACCACGTATTGCATGTGTGTGTTGTTCTGTCTTCACAGGTTCATCTCAACAGTTGTTATGTTTGAGAATGTCATTAATTAATTCACAATGATCAACTGCATGGATTCTTCATGTCCTGCATAACTAATTCAACAATTTATTCTACAATTTCTTTATCAATTGCTGTAACAATTATTTAACGATTTAATTACATGTGTTAACTTTACATGTTTTCATTCATTTCTGAGTGATGGTGACATCCCCCCAATATCATTAGTTTCCAGCCATACGGGCCTCTGCGAATGGTCCTTCGTTCTGGCAAGCAAATAGAGAAAGCTGACGGTGGTTGACATGACAATGGGCCACGCTCGTCAAATCACAGTCTGCTGATGAATGTCACCTCCCACAAATGCATGAAGGCAAAATATAATTTGAACATGATTTATTGATACTGGATATTCACAATAACACTGAACATTATGTAACGCGTTTTATAACACTGAACTAAAGTTCCCCAATTCATTAATGTATGTTATGAGCTCAGCTTAATGCAAATATTGTTCGCTTAATTATTACTAAATTTCTTCTCAAAATACAGTAAAAAATAAATTAGTATAATCTAAATATGAAGATCGGAGAAATGAAATATATATTTTAAAATTTGTCCCAACTGGGAGGAGGCAGTTGCCCCTCTGGGTACGGTGTACAGAGAGCTTGATGGCAGACTTTTGCAATCTCTCTCTTATCTTCCTCTGAAGGGATGTAAGTAATGGGCATGTCTCAAGAAAAAAATTAAATTAATGAAAATTGCATCACCTTAAAATGAGTACGTGTGATGGCCATTCGGGAACACTTGGGTTTCTCTTCACAGCACTTCTGCATTCAGGGACTTATCGACGGGTATCTATCAGATTGCCTGAGACTTTTCCGCTGAGAAAGTCAAGTGGTTTTCTTCTGCCCACTACAGAGACAGGTTCATCTGTTTTTGTAATGTTTTCAGTTTATGATCCAGGTTTATTCCTCTTGCTAGGACTGCTATGTCGTCAGCATACAGGAATAGCCTAATCCGTGGTATGTCATTGACATAAAGCGAGAACAGTAGCGGGGAGAGCACGGAGCCTTGGGGGACTCCGGCAAAAACCCCGCGCTGTGAGGATCTCGCTTTTCCCGCTTTGATCACGAAGGTGCGGTTTGTGAGAAAGGATGCAATCATATCCGTTACATCTTTAAGTAGGCTTCGTCTTCGTTATGAAAGAAATGTATAGCGTCGCACTTTGTCGAAGGCTTGTACCATGTCGAGGCATACGACTGGTACATCCTGTGAGAGTATGAGGTCAGCGGAGATCTGCTGGGCCATACATAGTGCCTGCAGTGAGGCTGAATGTCCCGGGCGGGAGGAAAATTGCTCGTCTCATATAAGGTTTCGCGAGATGATAGCTGGTTGGATTCGCGCGAGGATTAACCTTTCGAAAATCTTTCCAGCTTTCCGGGAAATGCCGTAGTGTGGTGCAGCTGTTGTAAAGGTGTGTTTGTTCAGAAGTGATGATCAGAAGCGCCTCTTTCAAGACCGATCTGGTCGGGGCCCGGTGCCTAGCGACTGCGCATGCTTGTGATAGTTTGTTAGAGTTCTTGGTGGGGATAGTGCAGTGTGTGAGTATTGTGTTGTTGCTTTCCTCTGCATTTCCCTCGTCGTCGTCTGTTTGCGAGGTGTTTGTGAAGCTAGCCCTCTGCCAGCGCCCTTACATACATGCGCGCTCCCGTGAGCGGTTTCCCGCGGCCCTTCCCCATTGGCGGCATTGGCTCTCCCGCTCTTCAGAGGCGCGCCCTCGAGGCACAGCGCGCGAGATGCCAGCTGTATATTACATATTGAACCAAATATTGAACTTTTGCAAGTTTCGAAAATTCACGGACTTCAACGAAAATGAGACTTCTGCCATGCTTTGAATCCTCCTTTATGTTACCAGAGAAATATTTCAAATACAATTTTTGGAGTTTTTAAAGAAAATTTTGAAAATGTTGATGCTTCATGAAAAGTATCCCCTAAATTTAAAAAATCGAAGTTTCAAACTCTTCGATTTCAGGATAGTCCAGGCCGGATTTTGTCAATGATTTATTTTTCATTGAACGTCTATACATTAATGCATTTGTAAAAATAAGTGCGTCAAATAATTTCTTGTGAAATTTCTCAAAAATTCAAAACTTCTTCTCAAGAACAAAATTTTTTGTCAAGAACTGCTCCACGGTTTTCAATGAAAATTTGCATATATGGCTACATGAATGTTTAACAAATATTCTTAAAAAATATATCAGTTCTACTATTAGGGAAACAAAAAGCTGAAAATGTGAAAAAGGTCGTTTTGGCGCCGATAAGTAGTTGCTGGGACGAGGGTGATGAAATACCGAAAAGCTGGCGTAGACTACAGAGATTAGAAAACTAACGAGACAGGGGGGGGGGATCTGTGCCATTTTGCAGCACCACTAGTAGTTAAGTAAATCAATGCAGAATATTACTTTCCCTATTATATTGCAATAAAAGTCGTTAAAACTGTGTATCAATTTACAAATGGATTATAAAAGTTTTTCTCTATACTTTCTCTATAGAGCATTGCATTATAAATCCAGAAATCCAGGAAAAACTTAGTATTACTAGTAAAACAGGTAAAACTTAGTATTAGTAGTAAAAGTATTTTTATCAATGATTTTCCATTTAGCATTTGTACATTTTCCGCACTTTCAATATATCTCCTTTTGTGGGTTTTTTCCTTTGTCCAAGTTCCTTAGATGGGTCTTTCTGCAAAATTAAAGCAGATCATAAAAATACTGAACAAAAAATGAAGAAATTTAATAAATAAGGAAAAAAAAGGAAACTTGGAGTGTGTTAAAATTATGCAGTAACGTACCTTAGCCACTATTGTTGGTTTACCATTTTTGGAAAATGCATTTTTAGGATAGTGCATTATGCTGTCGTATCCATAGGCCACACCATAAGTACTGACTTCACTTGGATTTGCTTTTGAAAAATCAGGCCAATATTCTGTAATGAGTTTAGAAAGTGTTTAATATTTTCATAATACAATGTATAATTAAATTTAATACGAAGGTCACTCCAAAAGTAATGCACATGAATTTAAAGAAAATAATTTTCTTTTCTACGCCTTTGCTCTTTACTGATTTTGTAGTATCATTCTTATCGCTTGAATTGAAATGTAGTTCAACCTGTTTCCGCAAGAGTTCCTCTCGTAGCACTCATTTAAGATGGCTGCCGCAGTATATGCGTAGACAAACTCTGTGGGTGCTCTGTATCTTGGTCGGAAGCCGCGTTCTGTGAGAACGAGACGGTGAAAACATTCCCGTGAAGTTACAAAATGTACGGAGATGATGCTGTTGATCGCAGAACAATTAGTCAGTGAGCTTCCATACTAGAATTCTTTCATACTAGGGAATTAGAGAAAGCGAATACTCCGGATCTCCCGCGCAGCGATAAACCGACATTCTCCTGAAAACTTGCAGCGCCTTCACCACATCCTTTTGGCTGACAAACCATCAAAGAATTGTCATTGAAAGTGGGTGTAAGAGAAGCGAGTATGTGGAGAATATTGAAAGAACTGTAATTGAAAAAGATTTCTGTCAAGTCTTTTCTAGATGACTACGTTGTGATGGCTGATAAACAGTGCTCAGAAGTACTGGTCCAGGCTTCTACCATTTGGGTATACATGTGCTTCTTCAAAGGTGTCGTAAGGCAGTAGAAAGAGACAGATATTATGTGGAGACGTGACTTTTTGTTCCACAACGACGGATCAAAGAACTGTAAAAATAGCAAAGACATGGAAAATAAATTGAATGTTTAAAAAATTGTTGTGCGTTTCGTTTGAAGTGACCCTCGAACAAATAAATTGTAAAGAGAACTTACTTTTGGGAATATTGTTCCACAACACATTGACATAGTCATCCCGATCAGGGCGACTTTGCTCATGATATAATCCTATTACATGAAGCAATTCGTGCTGTATAGCTCCAGGACCTCGGAAACAGCCTGATTCAAGGTTCAATGGATGAGGTTGTCCCAAATCTTTGTATCTACCTACCATTGCATAACAACCATCTCCAGGCACAGTTCTCATCAAGACATAATCTTGTTGTCCAGACCAAGGTACAAATTTTATGCATGTTTCCTTCTCCAGACCTCGCATAGCAGCCATCATCATTTTTTTCCGATCGCCAGCTGAATGAAACAGTATAATTAGACAACCTTTTAAAACCTTTTTTGGAATTGTGGGCATTTGTACATAGGGGTTTGTAGTGGAAAAGTTAATAAAAGAGGACTCATCTTTCCAATAATTGTATTTGGATTATTCACGCATGTGTTCGGCCTTCTCATCTTTCCGAACCTATCGTGTAAATGCCCGTTTCAACTCCCTGCATGCCCTCCGAGGCGGCGGAGACCCTGACGACAGAGAGGCAGAGAGCGGCGGAAATATCTGAATACTAATTGTCTTTCAATACTTCATAGCACAAACACATTTGTATTTGTGGATATTAAAAGGTGATAAAATTTCAAGTCAATCCAAGAAGCCAGCACGGCGAGTAATGCATGTAAGCCTGCTGAGAAGTGGCAACGCTGTTCTCTATAAGCGCTGTACTGCAGTCGAATGCTTGGACGCACTGTCGAATGGGTCTCACCCCCATCCTTCCTCACTCCCCGTACTTGCACAGAAAATCCAGGGGAAAAGTACATAAATAGTAAAGCAAACCTCAACAAATTCAAAGACACAAGAATTTGAACAACAAAGGGGAGCAAAACAAGGTGACCCCATTTCGCCAACATTATTTTTAATCATTTTAGAAATTCCTTTTTTGCAAAATGAAAAAAAAAACATTCAGCATAAATATCAATGGAGATAAATATCACATCTACGATTTTGTGATGACATAGTTTTTATAATAAAATCAGCCAAGGAAGTACAAGAAATGCTAGACAACCTCAAAAATAGCAAAGAAGTAGAACTGATAATAAATAATACTCAAAAGACAAAAATAATGACCAACTGTCCACCTGTACCGATAACAGTTTATGGTGAAAAAACAATACGTAGACAAGAACCAATAATTTTTATTATCCTTTAAGAATCCTTCCCAATCCATATTAGAAAACAGAATATCACACACGTGGTCATTAAAATTTATATTACTGAACAACAACTTTAACCTAAAAATAAAGTGTCATTATGAACACCTGTGTCTTACCAGTACTATTATGTGATTCATAGACATGCTAACTAACGGAAAGGGAGATAAATATGATAAAAATATATCAAAGAAAGATGTAAAGGAAAATATTACACATACGTTTACAAGACAAAGTAATAAATATTGACATAATGCAAAAACAGCGTCAAAAGGACTTAGGTCAATTCACGCATCTTCTAAAATGGAAATGGGCAGGACATGTAATAAGGATGAACACAAACAAGTGGACCTACAAAATTACAATATGGAACTCAAGGACTAGTAAGAGAAATGTCGGAAGACCGAAAACACGATGATTGGGACGACTATGGACCAGAACAGCAGCAGACCGCACAAAATGGAGAGAAGTCATTCAAACTCTCGACGAAAGCGACAGAGAAAAACGATAACACAAATAAACAGGAACAGAGACACACAAATAAAGAGCACAACGAAATGCGGCATGTAACTGAAGTGATACTTAGACGAGAACAAAACGAAGAGACAAACGAGAAGCGAACAAGAAAATATTAGTCTATATTAGACTAAAAGTAGTAATAAACAAGCTATCTATGTTATTTTAAAATGCATTACATTGTGAGAGGACTTTGCCCTACTATGGGTTATGAACACGCTAATAAATAACAGTAATAATAATAATAATAATAATAATAATAATAATAATAATAATAATAATAATAATAATAATAATGGGGTCAAGGGGGGAGGAATGATCTCTCCAAATGCCAACCTCACCTTCAGGCGGTGACCCCTGTTCCCCCTCACGAGGCTCTGGCGACAAAGTGTCGCCCGGAATAAGGTGACCCCTCTATCAAGCGCCAATCGCCTCCCCGGAGGGCGGTAGAGCTGCTAGAGATGGGGCTCTCTTTTGCCCTTGGGATAGGAAAGTATCCCTAAATACGGATGAGTTTCTGGAAGGCCAACGGCAGAGGACTCCAGAGGTAACGATCTTGGTTTTATTTTTCTGGGGTAGATAAAATACTGCTACCCTCCCCCCAGAATTTTTTTCAACTGGACAGCTACTCCATGTGGCCATGTTGTAACAAATCCGCCGTCGCCCTTAGCAACGCAAGCAAGTCATCGGATTCTCGAGACCTTGCAACAACATGCGCGAAGGAATTACTGTCCTCCGGAAAACGGCAAAATAAAATCAAGAATAAAAAGTACACTCTTTTGCTTTAACTAACATTAACTCATTTTAAAAATGATACGTAAATTAACGGAACAGACAGTTTCTCTAATCAAACATAATATTCTCATTAAAACTGTAAAAGAAACCAAATTTACAAACGTACATACTTTTGAGTCAAAAGGATATAGAATATTTAAAGGGAAGGTAGGAGAAAGAGTGACGAAAAACATCCAACACTTAGGAACAACTTTATAGTCAACACTAAAATTCTGGATTCATTGAAAAAACTTCTAATCTTCAAATGGTACGGTTTCTATGCTCTCCTTTACATCTTCTAATAAAGTTTATACACTAGTCAACATATACAGCGCCAATTAACAGGGCTAAAAGAACAAACAGACAAGATACTGACACATTTTCGGAAGAACTGGAAGAAATTCTTGCAAAGATTCCAGGAAAACACTATAATTCTGTTAGGATATTTTAATGCCCAATTGAGCAGGGAGAGAAATTTCAGGCAGGGGGATTATCCAGATCACAAAAGAACAAATCGAATCGATGAAAGATTGATAGTTCTTTGTAGAACCGCTGACCTTGTAATGAAATCAACTGCTTTCAAGCATCTTCGTAGAATACAAAAACTTGTACCTTGGATCATGCTGCAATATCTAGAAAACCTTCAAAAGAAATTCAAAATGTCAAGGTTCTAAGAAGTGTTAGATTCTGACCATTATACAAAATTAAAATTAAATTTCAACCAAAGAACACCAGACAGCAACTGAAATCCAAAATTATTAAAGTCGACACTGAAAAACTTAATAGAAAATTTACCAATACATTGACTACCCAAAACCCTGCAACTTGGAAACAACTTAAAGAATCTCTAGAATCTTTGAAACAGCAAAGACTTCGAATCCTCTAATTAAAAGGAAAAAAACATGTAGTGGAACTCGGAGTTTGAGTAAGCAGTTAATAGAAGACAACAAGCCTGGCAAGTTTGAAATGTACACAAGAAAAACGAAAATAGAATACAGTTTGTTAAAATTCGAAACGAAACATCCAAATTAGTTTATAATGTTAAAATAAATTGTGATAAAGAGCAGATACAACATGATTTCAATCAGAACAAAGTAAGGGGTTTTTACAAAACGTTTAAGAAAATTCTTAGTATTCCTCCCCAAGTCTCTGCTTTAAAGACCATAATGGCAAAGTTGCATTTAATAATGTAGAAAATTGTAAAATACTTGCTATGTACTTTGAAAAACTGCTTAAGCTTCACCTTTCAGCATCAAACCCCTGAACAACCCGACTCACTACCACCAACTGTCGAGGAAATTAAAAACGTAATTACATCTCTCAAAAATAATAAAGGACATGGAGAAAACTCCATTATATGAGAACTTTGGAAACATTCAAACAACAACGTTCTAAATAAATTAACAGAAATTATTAGTGACACATGGGCTACCGAACACATTTCCCAAGACTGGATGTCCCCACTCCACCCACTCCATTAAAAAGGTGACAAACTAATGTAAACAACTACAGGTGCATCTCACTTTTGCCACGTACTGGAAGGTAATTCTGGTGAGAGCCGAAAGGCCACTTGATCCGCAAGTGGGGATTACCAATGTGGTTTCCGGACGAGTAGATCCTGCGCGGAACAAATTTTTAACTTAAAAGCAATAATGACTAATTAAGGAGTCTGAAGATTAGGTAATTGTTTTTATTGACTTCAAGAAAGCATATGACAGGGAAACCTTATTTACAATTCTTAATGAATTTGGTTTACATACTAATACAACAAACCTAATTAGAAAAATGCTAACAAATACTTCTTCCAAAATGAAATTTATAGGTGAACTACCTAAACGTTTTGAGATCAAAATAGGAGTTCGACAAGGGGATGGTCTTCCACCACTACTCTTCAACAGTGTCTTGGATAAAGTTATAAGAGAATGGAGGAAAACACTGGAAGACGAGCATATCAGTGACAGGATACAATTCGGCTATAAAAGAGTCAACCTACCAATGGACTGCCTGCCTTTCGCAGATGATTAAGCTGTATTGTCAGATTCGGTAGAAACAGCTATTCAGCAAGTTGATTTTTTGAGTGAACTTCTTAAGGAGGCGGTATACAAATTTCTTTTGACAAAACCATATTTATGACAAATATTAAGACATCCCCTACAACAATGAAGACAAAAAATGGTATAATATTTGGAACTAAAAAATCAAATATCTTAGAGAAATTATTGAGGAAAATATCTGGGAGAAAGAAGCCATTAAATCGAAAATTAAAAAAATTGAAGTTAGTTGCAAACTTAACTAAAGATATTTATTATATGAAATCAATTTCCATTGGGGTATTTCAGCGAAGAAAGTGCTACATCATTCACTTAAACGTCTTTGCACTACTCGACAACAAAATTTAATCAACAAATTGGAGCCATTTTTATAAAAAAAAAATTGAAAATGTACACGAGGTTACTTGGAAAGTACCCCCAAAAATGAAAATATCGGTTACAAATCCCACAGGCCGCGACATCAGCCAGAACATTTGCGGAATATCGATTTTGGAAAAAACCGACTGGACGGATCTTGCGCTAGCGTTGTGCACAGACGGACGGACAGACGTTTTGCCGTCAATCGATATTTCGGTATAAAGGACAAAATATGGATTCTGGCTACACCACGTGTTAGAGGAACTTTTTTTCTGTATTTAGCAACTGGTTTTATCCTCTTTTTTGTTATCAGGGCCCGGCAACAAGAGTTTTTGTGTCGAAAATTCAGGATTTCCCAGTGCACTATTACAATACTTTATCTTCTTACGTTAGTACGTGCAAGTAAAAATATGGTATTAGATACCATGTTAAAAAAACGTGGTTCATTTTTTGTAAAAAAAAATGCTTTGTATTACAATTGTTAAAAGGTTTTAATGAAACCTTTATTTTCATGTTCAGTGTATACAAAAACCTGTATTCTATTAGCATATACTCTCGTGCTTCCACTGACCCGTTTTGTTATGTGTCAGTATCTCTCTGCATCGTAGCTACTTTATGTTATTTACGATTACGATTGCAATACGTTGACTACTTACGTTAGTAAGTACGACTCAGTAAAAATCGCGCTATTTTCCATTGCATCCCCGCTCCACATATAAATTAAGGGGGGAAAAATCATTTACCACGTGGTGCAGCCAGAATCCCTGTTTTGTGGGTCCTTCATACCGAAAAACCAATTGACGGCAAAACCACTGTCAGTCAGTCTGTAAACACAACTAACGTATAAATCATACATATGATTTTTTCCAAAATAGATATTCCCCCGTACAGCTCCATTAGAGGTGCCGCGATTTTCAAAAACTTTCTTTAAAATTTGCGGGTACTTTACATTAAGCCCTCCAAACATTTCGAAAATTTTCTCAAAAATGTCGCCAAGGTTTTTCTTAAATTTAATGTAAGTATACAGTAAAAACACCTACAAAAGTGGCATATTTCAGAGATTCATGGTTAAGCCTATATTTACGAGAATTGCCAAATTAGGAATTTATTGCGGGATCTTCCTACAACAACAAAATTGAAGACAGAGATTTTTCCTTTAAATAAAATTTGTTCTCTATAGTGAGTTGTTTTATTAAGGTACATTTGTTTGAAAATTTTAGTCGTTTACGCGCAATATTGCGAACAATATATGCAATTTTAAAAATAAAAAATATTTTCTCAAAAACGGTTCCAAACTTTTTTGAAAATTTTCGTAGGGATGTTGCTAAATGTGCTCTATGAGATGACATAAAGGCCATGTTTCACTGTTCTTTTTTGCAAAAGTGAATTAAATGAGGTTATCTCAAACTACAGATGTCCATTTTCGTTTAATTTTCTTGGTGCATTTGTCATATTTTTCAAGAAATAAGTGCCGACGACATTTGGCCTGTTCAACATTTATTCGCGTCAGATGGATGATAATTTTTTGAGTATATTTCATTTAATTGAAATTTTTCGCTTCGGAGGAATACGTTGACCTTTTAAATATGTTTTTTTTAATGATCCTTCATCACATTTTGCCTGTGATAGTACGGTTGCGAAATGTACAGGAGTCGCTCAGTGCGATTCGGCCTTCGGCACGTGATGCAAGAAATGTGCGTCAGCTGCGATGTAGACGGCCCTTTGGACCATGGAATAGGCACGATTTCGTTACCCGCGCCCCTGACTGCTCAGCAGTCGCATCGGAAGTGATCTTTACTTCCGCAGTCATGAGCGTCAAGCACAGTATTGCATCCCCCGAGACTTGGCCCCATGCCCCACCTCCGATCCAGGGGGAGGGGCATAGGGCCATGCCCCTTCCCCCCAAAAGGCCTAGGACTTTTCGTTTACCTTCCTGAATTGGGCAAAATTGATTTAAATATTTATGTTCGAATTATGTAATTGTTTAAATAATATTGTAAAGTATATTAGCTACAGGGTTAGGCCGTATTTAAATACTTGTATTTGAAATAAGAATTTTAAATCATTTATTTGAAAAACTGTACTTTTGAGTTTTTTGGCATGTATTTTAGACATTTATTTACATAAAGTAGGTGTATTAAAAAAGAAGAACTTAAAATACTTCCAATACAGATGAAGAATATAACTAGGGTAGTTCCTTTTATTTGATTCTACTAGTGAATGGATCTCATTGAAACAAATAATAAAAGCTCCATTCATCTGTTGAATTTGAAGGCATGAACAAAATGAAAACTTCATTTTGAAAAGATAAATCTAAATCATTAAAAATGATGGACCATTATCCGACGATAAAAAAAGCGTTTCTTCCTTATATCACTAGTTTTTGTTGATTCTAATCTAGATCTATTTAGGTGACGTTGCTTAAATTCCCTAACTATGCACCAAGATTGAAGCGCAAAAATAAGAAAAAAAGGGGGGTTTGGAAATTTCTTAGAATTTTCTCTTCGGATCCGAAAACAAATTATCAGTTCCTCATCAAGAGATCAAGACGCGTCGAATGACACATCATATGTTTCCATTGGTGCGCGGGAAGTGGTGTAGCCGCGTACGCACATGCACACACACTCAGTTTCCCACATATTGTATAAAAATGATTATTATTATTATTATTATTATTATTATTATTATTATTATTATTATTATTATTATTGCAATAGGTAGCCTTTGAAAAAACAAACAAGTATGAGTACCTCTAGTTAACTTACTATAATTGGAATGAAGAACGTATGGTATTACACCGCCAGGCCACAAGTGACTTTCAATTTTCACAGCATTTCTGGAGTCTCCTCGCTGCAAGTCAGAAGGCCGGATGATATCTCCCTGGTATTTATCACCAATATCAGGATACTCATTTTCTGGATCAAGAATCATAAATTAATTAACGACAAAAGCTATTTCATAAAGGGCATGGTTTGAATTCGCTTTTCCAAAGTTAGTTTTCCCAATAATTGATAGAAATGATCACCAAAGTACTACCTACCTTCTGCCAAATCTAACATCACTACACATTTATAATTTAAAATCACAAGGAAAAACTTTAAAAGTTTCATAACTTATGGACGCACACTCAACCAACGACAGTTCTTGGTTAAATGAAGCCCAAATCCAACTTTCTAACAACTCTATAACGTACAAATCCTTATAAACATACGGAACGTGCTTCATGAATATTATCGATGCCTCGCAATGAGGAGGACCCATTTATCTCTAACTTGATTTCTGGTGAAAATTGAGTGTCAAAAATTCAATATTTCAGATTATGAGAGACAGTGCAACAGGACACGTTATAATTAAACTTCACTTTAACGCTTACCAAACGAATACATTATCATTAAACTATATACACTATAATTATATTTAAGAATTTTCGCAGTTTACATTTCATATGCTTAAAAACGTGAAGCCTCATTCTCACCAAAGTAAGTTTATCGACTTTATCAGGAAACTGACGACCGCAATATTTACAATCACTAGCTTTAATGAGTGAAAGTTAGGGTCATAATAGCACGTATATGGTTCAAAGAAATTCATTAATAAAAGTTTAGATTACAAAAGTAATTAAAGGCAATTCTTTCAATAATTTCTTCTTTCCACCTGTCCCCATCATCTTTCAATCCTTCCTAATATGCGTTAGATATTAGGCTACAAAATGAAGTCTACCCAAACATTTAATGAACTAGTGGTGAAACAACACCACATTCTTCCTCGCAATATTTCTAACTGTTCCGCTATGTTATTCTACCACAGAAACCTGCAAAAGTGTTTTTAATCAGCAACATTTTTTTTCCGCGCCGAGATTCGATATCAGATCCGAGTTAACTTGCCATGTTAATCCTCGGAGTTAACCGTCAGCCATGCCATCACTCTACAGAATAAGGGCATGGTTTGAACTCGGGTAGTCTCTTAAAAATGTGATTGTCTCTACCCAATATTTTCAACGGGCAATTTTTGTAGTTTTCGAAAATACGAAGAGATTTCTAAATATGGGACTAGCGTAACATTTTTACCGTCCGTTTTTAAATATTTTTTTAATTGCATAGTTTTCAATCACAAATTACGCGAAATCCATTCGTTTAAAAAATGTTCATGACATTTTAAAAGAGCTGATTTTTTACAACAGATACTGTTTAAAGCAAAAATTGCGAGAAATGTAAGCAATTTTTACGCAGAGCTTTTTCTAAAAAACTATCAAATTTTTGAGTAAATCTTGATCTCGTATAGCGAAAAGGATACTTAAGAGATTCGTGCAAATGTCATGTCAGTTAAAAGCCCTACTTTTTCGAAAATTGCAAAAATTCGTTCTTTTTTCGTTTTACGTGTAATCTACGATTGGGGAGTGTTGTTGATGTGTGATGAATGATGACCACAGACGAACGGGCAGACGTTTTGCCGCCAATCAACTTTTCGGTGCGAGAATTGACTTCCGGCCGCACGGTCGGAGGAAGTCGTTTGCTACATTTTGGGGCTAGATTTATCCACTTTTTGGTTTCGGGCCCGGCAGTGGGAGTTTTTGTGACGCAAATTCGCTCATTTCCCGCAGCATTGCAATGTTTTCTACATAATGTGTGGGCGGTAACAAGAAATAAAAAGAATTCCATAGAAACTTACGTTTTTACAGTATATTGTACTGTTTACTCTACATTTACTTCTATATTGTTACGTTAATAAACACATTCGTAAAACGTTTGTTCTTTGAATCATCTTGTCCTCTTCATTGCACAATTTATACCTAGGAACCTAGGCATTATGTCAAAGTTTCACATGGGAAAACTGTATTCATTAAAAATCAACATTGGTATTGGTTATTGTGTATTCGTTGAAATTTAGAAAGACTGATTTAAGGAAGATATTGCTAGTGAAATGTTGAAATATGCCCAGATAAGTGAGCTTTCGTTCAGTGAAAATATGTTCTCCATCTCGCAACACGAACAAAAAATATGGATTATCAGTAAAGTATCAAATCATTTCTAAAAGGCTAACTTGTCTATGTGATAGAAACAAAAGCTCGCCTGTAAATGAAACCACTTGATCTTAATTTTCCCATGTCGACGTTCATCTATGAACTTCTGAAATATTCGTGGCTCCATTGTTGCTTAAGGCAGGGTATGGTGGTAATATAAAATTAAAAGTTACATAAAAATTTATGGTACTAATTGTTTGCAATTTTTCTTTCATATTACATTTGAAGGGTATTTTTTAAAAGAGAAAACGTAATTGGTTTAATTTCAATTAAGAGGTGCGGATTGCCAGAAAGAAAATACATCAATACATTGAGAATACAAATTGTAGAATGGAGTAAAAATAGCATTAATGTGATTTTCAATGGAAAATTATAAATATATTTTCTTTCCTTTTAATCCATTCCTGTTCCCCGAGGAATTTTCTCATGTAGTTAGTGGAGATGCCTGCATATATTTCATTAATTTCAAGCGGAAATTTCACGAAAACTAATTTTTCTAACAATCGTACATGACCTTTTTTTAATGGGCTGATTTTTACTTTCGAAGGAAGATACTTAAGATGTGAAAGTTATGTAATTGTGAGTCGGAAAACGGCGGATTGTCGGCAGAAAAACTTATTGTCAGGTCCTGGAAATGAAAAAGTGGATAAAACCTGTTGCTATCATCTGAAATTGTGTAAAAGAAGGAGAAAATAAGAGGTAAGGGAAGATTCAATTAATTCTAATTTGGGCCAGTTTATTCATATAATTTGATTTCAATTAAAACATTGTCATACACATATGTAAATAGATTTGATTCTTAATTCAGATCAATAGTATCTTGTGCTTTAATTTGTTAGGATTGTGAAATGCATCAGGACTATTTCCTACACTCCCGTGAATGAGGCCAAGATCTATTAAAATTATGGGAAGCATTTAGCTGATGTCTAGGAATAGAATTTAGACGAGATCTAATACCTTTTACGTTGCTCCAGTGCTCTTTACAGTTTTTTGTAATTTCTGCTTAATACAGAAATGCAAGCACAAAATTCAACAAACATTTCAATCTCAACAGGTGGAATCAAGTCCTTTATATTGTGAAACAATCTCTTTTGTTATTATTACCTTACCTTATTAATAATCATAATATTAAGTTTTCATCTCATTCTTTAGCGAAATTATTAACAACATTTGGAACATATGGCAAAGCAATCTTACGGGGTTATTCAAAGTTATCATTGTTCAACAGATAAGTGTCAACAATAGATCAACTGATGTTCTCTACAATAGCAAGTCTTTTACCAATACATTTACAGAAATGAATTTCTGAGGATAATTATTTAAAAAAAAAATAATTTGGTTACAATTTTGAAATTATTGAAGTGAAAGGAATGATAGAACCATTTTATGGCCTTGTCTAAAAAAATAAAAAATCTTATGTATCAGAAGATAGGAAAGAAAATTATGAGTATGGCCAGTAGCAAGTTTTTCAATACCAATTGGTCATTATTTTATTAGCATGACATTATACTTTAACATCTAAAAAATTAAGAGGTCCCTGAACTTCTCTTTCTAAATGTTGTCGAGATTATACTTTTTAATGTTAAGATTCCCGTGTTGAGGAAAAACAAAATTATGTAACAAAGGTACATAATATTCCAAGTCCTCAAAACAAAGACAGTGTGAATGGTGCATAGACCAGTTGTAACTGATGCCGCAGACATGAGGACTGTAGAAGGAAAGGATACACAGCATCTTGCGGTTTTTGAAAGATGGATTATGAGAAGGATTTTTGAACCAGTTAAAATGCCCAATAGAGATTGGCAGATTAGGAATAATTCCGAATTGGACAGTATACAAAAACATATTTTATCACAGCCATGAGATTAAGTTGGCTTGGTCATCTTAATAGGCAGTCTAAGAATAGGGAAAAACGGAAAAGGATATTTGTGCAGGTCAAGACATTCATTTGTAGGCGGGAGAACCTTAGAAAAAAAAAAATTGATAACCATTGGAGAAATTTATTATTTACAAATTTTATAACTGTTCAATATTAACACATCTTCATTAAGAACTATCACTGTCACTACCTTCAGACGAGGACTGTGAAGAACTATTACTAGAACTGTAACTTCTCTTTCTTTTGTGTTTTTTCTTGGTCTTGCGTTTGCGATTCTTCTTTTTCTTTTTTGATTTTTTTACCTTCTTAGAATATTTTTTGGATTCAGGGGAGATTTCATCATCTTCTGCTTTGAATTTTACGTCTTTTTGTTCTGAAGACCAATCATTAATCACACTGCCGTTTTTGCAAATGTCATACTTATCTTCTCTATGAAATTTCTGTAAGTGCACATCGTAATGATCACTATGTTTGTCAGTATAATCACCCTTGTGAGAACGTGCAGAGCTCTTCTCAGGGATTGCTTCATATTTCCTTTCGTGTTTCCAATCGTGCTCAGAACTAGAATGTTTTGAAGAATATTTGTAACGCTTTGTCTGACTCCCAGTTTCTCTCTCATCCTTTGAATTAACTACATAATTATCACGTTTTGAGGAGTACTTAACATGTTTTGAATGACTGTAGTATTGCTTTCTGAATTCTGATCGATCTTGTTTTGCAGAATTTTTACTATAATGTAGATAATCGTCAACTTCCTCAGAATTTACTCTTGACGGGTAATGATTATTATCTCTGTCATAGTGATAATCTCTGAACCGCTCCCCTCCTTTGTTGTTATTTACATAATATTTATCTCTACCGGCTTTTTCTCCAAATGAGGAAGATGCATGTCCATCATTGTGTCTCTTCCTCTCAGAACTATATTTTTCATATTTTATATAAGCATCATGTTTTTCTAAACAACTTTCGCTCGACTGTTCACTTCTGCTGTATCTCCTCTCAACATTCTCAGGGGGAACACTTCCATATTTTCCAACATCTTTCTTGATCACTTTTTTCTCAGAACTTCTCTCTTTATCAGAAACATAAGCTGCCTTTCGAACCTCATGACTGCTCTTATTCTCATTTTTGGGTTGAGAAGATATATTTACTTCATCACCTCCAAGGGAAAAGGTTTCGTCCTTATCATCGTCATCAACAGCCATCTCATCATCACACTCGCCTTTGATGATCTGCTCAACAAGGTCCATTTGATTCTGAATAACTTCACGCAGTATCTGAAAAAAACAAACAACAAAAGTATTATTGGGAGATACTTGCATAATTATAATTTTTAAAATATCAAGAAATTCCAATCATCTTTATGTTTTGACAACAATTTTCAAAAATATTAGAAAACTCTTCTATGAAAGGTTGAAAAGCTACCTAACATGCTGTAACATTATCACTGACTCACAACATACATTTAGGGAAAATTGATCAACTGAAACTGCTGTATTCGTGTATTGCTTTGTAAATGAAATCCTCATGGCATTCGAACAAAAAGAAATTCCTGTTGGTCTCTTCCATGACCTGTCAAATGTCTTTGACACAATAGACCATAGAATTCTATTGTCCAAATTAGAATCTTATGGAATCCGAGGAATTGCAAACAAGTGAATAAAATCATATCTAACAGACAGAAAACAAATAGTAGTGTGTGATACCTTACTAAAATGACAACAAAATAAAAAATCATCACTCAAACCAACAGATGTGACCTATGGGGTCCTGCAAGGATCCACATTAGGCTCGACTTTATTTCTTGTATTTGTAAATGATGTGCTATCAATAATGAAAAACAACAAAACTATTTTTTGCTTATGACACTAATATAACATTCAAAGAAAGAACAACTAACGCTTTACAAGACAAAACCAATTGAGCCATTTACAAACTAATTCAACAGATCCACCCAAACCAACTAATCCTAAACAGAGACAAAACAATCACAATGCTTTTCCACAATTCCTACTCAACACAACAACACTCACAAATTTAACATTATAAGGACACAGCATCACACAAGAACAGAAAACAAAATTTCTCAGAATCACCATACAATCGAACCTCAAATGAAACTTGCACTTAGAAGATATATATTCAAAATTGAGCAAACTTAATTATGCACTAAGAATAATAACAAGAAATAGCACCATTCAAACAGACTGAACAGTGTACTTTGCCTATGTGCTCTATTCGAAATAATATCTGGAGCCAAGCAAACGTTCAAAATACAAAAAGAACAGAGTCCTGTAGACCTCAATTCAAAAAACATACTTCCACTGCCTTGAATATTCATTTACGAAATTATATTTGTAAAGAAAAATCTAATAAACAATGACACCCCTTACAAATTTAACTCAAGCTTACAGTCTTACAACACAAGGTAAGCATATAACCTTCATAAACCACTGTGCACAAGCACACTATACCAAAAGGGTACATTCTCTTCAGTAACACAATTCTTCAACAAATTACCACTACATCTGAGAAACATAACATTCATAACTTCAAAAATAAACTTAAATACTTCATTAGGCAAAAACTTTTTTACAGTATTCAGAAAAACCTCAGTAGCTAATGCTTGCAATCTAATTTCAGGTGCTGCAGAAGGTGGTGTAAAAAAATGAGACTATTTGCCTCCTAATCCTCACCATTTCAAGATCTTAACATAGAATATACTAATATTGTGAAATTGTATGTAGTTGTTACCATAATTGATATTACTAATTATTATTATCATAATGATAATTATTATTATTATCATCAACTATAAGAATAATAACAATGATAATAGTTATTATTATTTTCTCTCTCTCTCTCTCTCTCTCTCTCTTTTTTGGTCCGTATTAGTTGGGGTTCTTGTAGTAATACCTCTTTGTTGTAGTTCTCAGAAGATGTAACTTCCTGTTCACGCCGATAAGATGTATGCTGTCACCACCAGAATAGTCTCAATTGAAACGTGTGCAGTGTAGCATCTCACAGATCGGCGCATGTTGTGAAGTGCTCCAGGTTATCAAGAATACGAATAATCTCTCATATAATTAAGAAACTTTAAAAAATGTATATTACATAAGGTAACATTTTCTAATACATTGCTTCTTCTTATTGTGAAACATTGTACAGTAGATCAGTAAAGTAATAAAATTTTAATGTCAAGAAACTTGTTTAATGTGTTTTTGCACCAGAAACACAAGCATTGTTTGTAAAGCAATAAAAGCAATCAGTGAAACAATGCATCTGAGTGATCACCGTATGTACCAGAGTAAATTTGGTAGTGAGTGAGTGCTGCCAGGTTAAATACACATTTTAAAATGAAATAACCAACATTAAGCTCCAACGTAAGAAATGATCAAAGATACATGAAATATTCTAATGAACATAACATCCAACTGCCTCAAAATACCTAAAATTATGATCAAGAATCGCAGTATTTTCAGAGTGGGCAATTAACTTTGATGCCCAATTACTCCAAAAATACTCATAGTTTCAAAAAATTCAACATGACCTCATTTGAAAAGCTGTTTTTGATGAACACATTTCATTAAGAATAAAAATTGTAACTTCATAAATGTAGTTGTAGGAAAATATCGAAAAATTTTTGAATTTTTTCAATTGTCAAAAAACCAGGATTTTCAACCAACATGAGACCTGCATCATTCTCTTACACGTCCTTCAGACTACAAGTTTAATCAAAATGGATGGCATAACTTTTTGAAAATATCCCATGGGCTTGATGTAAAGTACCACACAAAATTAAAATATCAGTTTTAAATTCAAGTAGCAACAAGATGAGCCAGATCGATTGGGGAATATCAATTTTGGGAAAAAAACAGCTGATCGATTTAGTTGCTAGAGTTGTCCACAGAGAAGAAAGACAGACAGACAAACAAGACTTTTTGCGGTCAATAGATTGATCAGTATCAAGGATCCACAAAATCAGGATTCTGATTATACCATGTGTTAGAAGATTTTTTCTCTAAATTTAGCATCTGGATTTATTCACTTTTTCATTGCAAGGGTCCTGAAATAAGAGTTTTTCTGGCAAAAATTCGCCGTTTTTTTTTTTTTTTTTTTACATAACTTTCTTCTGAAGAAGTTCCTTCTTAAGCGCATTAAAGTCAAAGTTTTACCTAATGGGAATATTTATATTTAAATAAAAAAATATGATTTAAATTTGAAAATCTGATTGTTTTTAATCACGATTTTTATTAATCCTAGAGTAAGTGAGGACCAAGGCCAAAGATTTCATTACGATATCAAGAAAATTCAATGACCATACCAGAGAACTTGGGATGTTCAGATGTTGGGTGACTACTGTTGGATACTACACTGTGAACGCCCAGAAATACCACATAAGAGGAAAAGTAGGGACCTTCCTGAGACAGCTAAGAAAGCACCTCATGAATTAGGCAAGTGTATGTTTTGTACCATATTCTAGGTGGGCATGTTTTAATATGTTGTAGTTTTTAACTTGTATTCCACTCCAGTGTGATTCTTGTGCCATATACATGTAGTACAGTTCAATATGATATCAGCATTGGCAACGTACACAATTTGTGCCATAATTGTGGAACACACGATGCTACGGAAAGAGGGCATTTCTTATAAAAAAAAAATAATAATAATAAAAAAAGAGAGAGGATACTTCATATAAAAAAGGTTTTAATATAATAAATTATTTTTCTTAAAAACCAAATACTCGACTCATTGTCAGCACTTTCACAATCACAGGATTGACCCACTTCATTATCATTATTGTCTTTTTCACTTTTGTACCAGAAATATTTGGTGGATGATGAAATCTCCCTCAACAATTAAAACTTTTGTTTTGAACCTTGCAACAGTCACTTTGAACTTTTAAGTAAGTCATTAAACTTGACTTTTCTTTTTGGCACCCTGCTTGATATAACATCACAGAGCAGCATTTAATCCACACGCCAACAGAACAGCATTAACACCATAAGCACAAAATATATTACCAGCGCCACTATTCAATATGTTGAACCAGCTGATGACGGGAATGTACATTTATCTATGGATTTGCCGGTTGTTAGACATGATAGTTGAAGATAATGAAATGTTATGATGCTGGAGACTCAAAAAAGTTGGAAAAAGTGCAGTATACTTTGTATATCGTATGTCTAGGTTGCATTTAAAAGCAGTATTCCCTTTCGAATAAAAAAAGAGGACATTTTGTCCTTGTTTGTAAAACCCTATCGAGCAGTTTTTCTTACTTCAGAGGACATGTCCAGGGAAAAAGAATGTGTATGGCAACTCTAGCAATACTACATTCTGAGAAAGCTAAAGAAAACTAAACAGAGACGGGACATGCATTTCCATTTCCTAACATCTAAGCTCCACATCATACACATTGCTAAATAACAGAGCAACAATACATTTACCAACACTGAATCAACACTTCAAAATATATTAAGAAATGCAAAAAAGACGCAACAAATTAAAAAAATATTCCTTCTAAGTTTCCTGTAACCACAAAAGGTACAAATTATCATAGCCTAATCATCGACGTGTATAAACATGTAACAAATGTTTTATTGGAGAAGAAACATAAATAAAAGCAAAATCTTTTGAAACAGAGGTTGGTCAGTTAATTATAGAGGATGAATAAGGAGTTGACATGTTGGTTACCTCGGTGTGAGTTTTTCGATTCGTGTGGACTTTCTTCTTATAGCTAATCCGTCGCCGCTTGGCATCTCTCTGTTCTATTAGGAGCTCCAACTTAGATTTTGGGCGAGGCTGTTCATCTCTTTTCAAATCACCTCTGAAATGAAGTTAACAGTCATTGATTATTATTCTATTCAACACCTTAACTCATGAGGTCAGGGTCAGGATCAACAATAGGATTTTGGTAGGAAGGATTAGTATGTACTTACACTATCAATAAAATGGACAGTCAACAAGGCAGTCTAGTCTCTGCCCTCTTAAGATGTCCCCAGTAATACAGTGTGCCAGAAATGTATATCTGCATGAGCCGAGTCAGGGACTTGTATAAAAATAGCATTTATGTTGGTAGCAAACACATCTTTGGGAAACAAGTGAAGAGGACAACATTTCCAGCATCTGTTATAATTATGGCGAGTTCTGTATTTATGTTTTCTTTTGTTACACATTGCTACCAACATAATTTTTGTTTTTAACACCAAAAAGCCACTTTCCTACGCTGTACTTCTTGAAGTAAGAGCTCAGTGACTTATGGGACAAGGATAAAGAGTCAACCCAACCAAGTGATTTTGTGGATCCCAAGTCCAAAGACTGCCCTCCTCCCTTGGGGGGAAGAAAACAGCAGGCGCAAATGCAGTTGTGAGGCAAAACCCCCATTGTGATAGACTATCGTAACCCAATACAGGAAAACTCCATCGACACTTTTTGCACCAACACGTTTTTACATTATGCATTGTCTCAGCTAAATTCCTGACAGCATATATGACCAGTAAGTGGCAACAATTACATCATCTTAGAGGACCCCAAGGAATGTGTGTTTGGTTCAATGTTCAGGTTGTTCAGTGTATTTGGTAGGCAATCAGCCCAGCAGTAGCTCAGTCTTCCATTGGAACCTTTTGGGAACTGTAGAAACTGATCAAAATCACATGGTGCAAGACTAACGCCCACCAATGACTATGGCTATGTTAATGATAAGTGTTGCCTGGCATCGCATTGCAAAATAATTGTCGACATTGCACAGTAAACATCTGGCCTTTTTGAACAGAATGCGTGGGAATCAGGCAATGTGGGCAAGAACGGGGACACATTTCAAGGGGAAAATTTGTCTTGGGGAGCAGAAAAAAGCTAAAGATCAGACTCTTTTTCAAAACCGAGAACTTTTTTTCTTGAAAATGTTGTGTGTTGAGAATATTATAAGTACAATTGTTTTCTAACAAAAGAATTGTTAAAATATTTAGTTTTTACTTTGCACCTAAATTTTCCTCATTTTCAGCTATGTTTTACTCATATATACTTTTTCCTTCAGCCTCCTAAACAAAATGTCCTCGCACTTTTCTGTATGGTTTGTTAGAAATGTTTGAAGTTGGGTTCCAGTGTGAAGCGAGATTAAGGAATATAAAAATTTCTTACATGAGCTGTAGTTCTTCTACTTTCACATCTTCGACAGGTTTAGTTTTGGAAATAACGAAGTCATACAGGATACGCCTCTCGTCCGATGTAAAATCGGCTGTCAACCGATCTGATGTTTTAGGAACCAAGCGTATACCAGCTTCCAAGTTACCTGTGTCGAGAAAGTTATTCATAATGTCCATTTTCAAATTTAACATTAATACTCAAGGCCAAATTTTTGTAACAGATTTGTTGGGTTTTAATTCTGCTCGAGTAACATCACAAGCTTGAAAGCATGAATGCACTACTATACCACAGACGTAATAACTGTCAACTTTGTCAATCAAGTGAATTTCACAACTTAATTCAAATTATTTCCATTCTTCATATCTTAAGTAATCTGATGCTGGAATACACCACAAACACAAAACAAAGTGTCACACATGCAAAATTATTTTAACCCGGAGTGTCTGCAATGTATCTGTCAGATATAGCAGCAACTTTTTGTGAACGCAAATGACCTGATGCTCTATTTACTGAAATACATATTTTATTTAGTTTGAACATGGCTCCCAATGCAAATTTTAATGAATTCTACACTGCAGATACAATGTCTGGATACTTATATTGAGAAAGATAAAAATTTACAGAGTACTCGCAAAATCAACATTTTAATATCTTATCAAATCATATTAAACACAATTTCCACAGATGATTTTGGTATATTCTAAACAAACATATTTTAAAATTTTTACAAAAATATTTAGAAAGTCTGTTTTTTTTCCATCTTGCAAGTTTTGAATCTTTTTCATTTCCCTATAGATGTTTCCTGCTCATCCCCTTTCTCTTTGGGAAGAAACTGAAACTGTGGATCCTAGATAAGGTAAATGATGCATTTTCTGACTAGCCACTTGACATAGATACAGCTACAAATAAGGTCATGATACGTACCGCTTGGGCCAGGAGCTCACAATGCACTGGCGCCACTGCACACAACGTATCTCACAGATCTCGCCCAGCGCGGCGATCAAGTTTCAACATGCCCATGGGAAATGTTTCGCAAAAGGATAAAATTGGAAGCATGGTGTTCTCAGAAAAGTACAATAAAGTAGCAGACAATTAATACATCACACAACAGTACTACCAGCGTGCAAGTGACTCTGACAGTTTGATGCACTGTTGCCACTCATTACTATACTCATGGCACCACCTACATGGCAAATTAAATCCCAAAACATTCACACTTGCTAACAGGCAATGGCACGCCCTGATATCATAATCATCATGACCTTCGCCACACCTAAACATTATCACCTCCGTGACTTTGTGAGAATCAGCCGAGTGGTAATGCAAAATCGCTGTCTGTGAGAAAGTAAACAAATCCTCACAAGCCGATTGCTTCAGATCAAGTCGCATGAGTACCGCAGCACTTGGCGAGAGAACTGTAAGAGTCGCTTAATTCAGGAACAGACTGTAATTAAGGTGGCAACATAAAATTGCTGTGGCTTGGATCTCACAGATCTAATGCAGGCGCTCCCAGGTTAAGCAATAAAATTCACAATTATTTAAAATCATAATATTAATACATGAAAAACATGTAAAGGATATAGAAAAGGATATCATAGCCAAGAATTCTCTAAGTCAACACTTCCCGAATACTCACAGGCAAAGCTGCAAAAGAAGCAAACATTTAGTAGTTTTTGAAATTTGTGAGAAGAAAAGTAAACCTGTATTGTTTTTTAAAGTAAAGTATAAAAACTAAGTTTCAAAAACAAATAAAATATAAAACACTTTTTACCTGTCTGCAATGATGAATCTTGTTCCTTCATTTCTTTAATGATTTCAGCTTGTAACTGTGCATCTACATTGAGAACAACAAAGAGAATTAGAATATTAAACTATATCTGCTTCACTGACAATTACAATACATTTTTGATTTGATGGAAATCAATTAAGAAATTAAAATATGCAATATCATTTATGACGTACCTATCACAATACTTGATTTTGTGTTTTCAATATTTTCAATGGGGTTTTCTGGCAAAGGAGTGTCCTGTTCATGATATCCTTCTTGTCGCCAAGAGCATAATTGCACGTGGGAATCCAAAGACTTTTTTGGAACTCTATGTTCCGGATTCAAAGGACAGGAAACCATCTCCAAGTTCTGAAATGGACAATATACTTCAAATGAGGGTATACCAAAAATGTATTACTAGTACCAAGACAGACAGGATACTAGGACCCAGCCATTTTAATTGTAAAATATAATATTAACCATTATTCACGTTGAGATTTCTATGCTTAGTTTTTACACTAGATTTACTGAAGTTAAATAAGTTTCGTTGAAAAAGTAATTGTAACAAATGTCTCTTTTTAAGTGGAAGAGTTTTAATTGTTTTAACATCAAAAACAGTTTCAACTGTGCTTGAATTACCATTGGGAGACGAATATTCTGTGCACAATCTTTCGAGTAAAGAATAAAGTTTAAATTCTACTACCTGGGATAATATGTGAATTTGCATATTTTATCGTCTAAATAAAGTTTCTTCCTAATGACATCTTTTTTATAATCTAGCAACCAAAACTCCGATATCATACCTCATCTGTAAGAAATTTTCTTGTCCAACCAACTTTTTGCAACATGTCATCAATTTGCCTGTAAGATTCATCGATGAATGCACTAAAAGCGTCGAGTTGTTGTTTCCTTTCTTCTACGTCGAAATTCATTTTCAATAAACTTTTTTACGAGTTCACAGTCAACTTCATCCACTAACACTGAACCTGCTCCATACTATGCGATACTTGGATACTATCATGGACACTATAGAGTCCATCCATAGTAATTATAACCTCCTTGGTTATTCGTTGAATAGTTCTCCAATTGGGGTGGAATCTGCGCTGTGATTAGTGGAATGCAGCTATCGAGGCAGCTCTTTCAAAATCTCTGGAAAATAGATGTTCATAAATAATATAATTAACATTTCATAAATCATGAAATTTTCAGTACATATTCGAAAGAAACGAATATAATATGCCTTTGTAGATCGATTAATCCATCAATAATGTCATCTTTTATGTCAAACTCTCCAATTCATTCGAATTTCTTTATACACATGGACGTATAAATCTAAACGAATGAAAGATATATAATTAATCACGGAATATTTATAAAGTGAGTTGTTATTTTTCATAACTGCAGGTAATTTTAGTTTATAATTTTTCAGTGTATATTAAGTAATAGAATCGTAGTTAACAGATGAATTCTTAAGGCGCATTCAGAAAGGTTTGATCCTAATGTTAAGAAAGATGTTATTATCGAAAAATATTTGGTATCTTGTCATAAATTTTTGTAAACAGATTGGATTCTATAATTGTATTCATAGTATTCTGAGTTTTTATATTTATTGTTTCTAGTATTAATTTTTTTATTTCTGTTCTACCGCTAAATACGAAACTGATCAAAATTTTTGGATGATTTAGAGTAATTCTACGTAGGGATAATGAAAAAAAAATTAATTAAATTTTCAGTTGTACCTGATGAGGGAGACAAAACAGTCTCCAAAACGTCGTAGTCATAGAAGTGAATAAAATTATTACGTGAAAAAAAATTTGGCACTTATCATTGTGGTTGTCCATAATTTAAAATAAGGGACTGAACCACAAACAAATAGAATTATATTGTGACAACTATTTTAAAACTTAATGTTAATAATTACACGAATGATTCTTCGCTTGGGGTTCCCTCTCCCGAAATAGATTCACTAGTTACATTAGCGCCACCACGGAGCAGCTCTATGGATTTAATGGTCATTTCCATCGTGTTATGGAGCGGACGAGTTATCGGACAACTACATTAAGGCTCTATAAAGGGGAGTATGCGCGGCCACCATATTGAGTCTGTAATGTCAGCAGTAGTATTGCCGCGGATGTAAACATAGCGTTCACTAGCGTGTATCTATCTATTCAGCGGTTTTTTACAGCCTTGGCCGTTTTCCGCATCCCAATTTCCATGCCTCTTTATCCCATACATTGTTTTCTTCCATTTCTTTTTTTCCATGTCTTCAGTTATTGCCATGTTCCATGTTCTTCTCGGTCTTCCTCTGTATCTTCTTCGATTTGGTATCCACTCCCAAACTTTTTGAGAAAGTCTATCCGATTTCAACCTTCT